CTGGCTGGGGAATTCTGGGAGTTGAAGTCCACATATCTTAAAGCGGCCAAGGTTGAGAAACATTGATTCTGAGGCTTCTCCCCTGCTTAACCACCTTTTCCGGACCTTGCCAGATGACGACTCCTGGGACCTTGTCACCTGCTTCTGCATGAAACCCTTTGCCGGGCGCCCGATGATCGAGTGCAAGGAGTGCCACACCTGGATCCACCTCTCCTGTGCCAAAATCCGGAAATCCAACGTTCCCGAGGTCTACGTCTGCCAGAAATGCCGAGATTCCAAATTCGATATCCGGCGCTCCAGTCGTTCCCGGACGGGCTCCCGTCGGCGCTTCCTGGACTAGCGCGCTGGAGAGCGTGCGATGCACAACAGGCCGGGCGTACAAAATTTGAGAACGGGGGCAGTGGAACATGGGTCGTGGCGCAGAACTTGTGGGAACTGAGGGGCTCTGATATTCTTGATTCCCCGCTGGACGACGAACGGATTCAGGGCCACTAAAGTGGGGAAGGGTGAATCAGAGAAGGGGCTGAGGGGTTTCTCCCCACTTCTTCTTTTCCTTGTCTTGGAAGCACAAAGGGAATTAACCGGCTGTTGGGAGCTGACCCATCCCACGTTCAGGGAGGGACTGAGACGCAAACAGGCCAGCGATAAAAGACCTCTAAGGGATATGAAAAAAGCGTAATCTAGCCTTGCTTGGAGCACAAATCTGGAGATCAGCTGCCTTGGGCCATTCCCAGAATTTATTCCCCCCGCCCCGAGAGGTCATTCCAAAGAGTTGGGAGGCGCTTGGTTCTGGAAGTGCTTCCCACGAGCTGAGCTTGGAAGACGGGAACAGTGCAAAAAATAAAAACCACCTTACTTTGACAGCAGGTGCACTGGGAACGGGGGAGCCCTCCCCTCTGGGAGGTTCTCTCCATCCGCCGGAAAAGGGAAACGAGCTAAGAAATTCAGATTCTGACTTCAGAGCTGTGAAAGGGGATCGACACTTCCTTTCGAGGGGAGCAACGTTTCTCCCGGTGCTTCAGGAACCGCAGCCGGACAGCGGGATGAGGCCAGGAGGCTGTGGAGAGGCGGGCCGCGGTCCAGCCACGATTCGGGGCTTCCTTTGGGGTTTCCAAACCGAGAC